CTACCACATTGTTTGGTATATGTTGTGTTTCCAGAGGTTTCTACAGCATCCCTCATTAAGGCATGTATCTAACAATTCTCCTTCTTTGTGGAGACGAAGAAATGCTGCTGAGTCTTTGTGGTGATATTTTCTTTGCACAACCCTACTCTACACATTTTGAAGCACATTGTATTTTTACCGGAATGAGACCACTTTCCACCCATGCAACGAGCCCTTTTTAGACTTATCCTCCCTATTTGTATCCTTCATTTGATAAAGTGTGATATTAGGATTCCTCGGGGGCCTCAGATTTGTTCTCATCTTCGGAATGACTCAGATGGTTGGAAAGGGATCACATATGCTGGGCGCCCAGTGTCATTTGCTGCATGATGGACACCGGCACGCAGGCGGTTTTAAAGCTGCCAGAATGGCCAGTGTTCACAGATGGCTGGGGCTTAATGCCGCCTCATAACGACGTTTCTGTCCTTTTCAAGGTCACTTCTTTCACTGTGGAGCCTCTGCAGGATCCAGAAGGCAAGCGGTACACAACAAAAACTCGAAATATTGCCACGTATATGTGTCTAATATCTAGTCAGAATATGTCTCTACACCAAGACACAATAACCTCAGAAGTAACACCGCAGTGAGATATCAGGTCTTGTTTAATTCATCAAGTCAAAACATCTTATTTTGAGTCGTATCTCAGATGAAACACATATTTTGTAACTAACATCAGAAAACCGAACACTTTGGAGCATTTGCGGCTTATATTGTAACAACATTTCCCGATTCTGTTCAAATATAGTTCAAAATGAGTTCTCCAGCTAATTACAAGATCAGATTTATCTAAATATCCGTTCTTATTTCAATAAATCTTACCAAGCTAACTTTCACTTGTTCTATTGGCAGATTTTTGTACTTATTTCAAGTGTTGTTTTCATTATTGTTTCACTTGTTTTTGGAGCAGCATTTCTTCCAGTGTAGCGAGGTTTGGTCAGAATTTCTTATAGGTTGATATCGGAAATGTTTAAGGTACTATCTTTATGATCTGATGTCCCCATAAGAAGAACCAAGAGAATTACTGGTGTGGGATGTGATGAATGGACAGAAAGCACGCACAGTTTGCTGCTCCCTAAAGGAAGGGCTTATCAGGAAGTATGTTGCTCTGGGCTTATCGTTACAGCCTCTGATAACTGGTTGTAGCCTGCAGATGACGTTAACATTTACTCGGTTGGACCTGGTGAAGGAAACGTTTCAATACGAGCATCACTGTCATGCTGCAGAATTATTTCAGAAAATGTACAACAAAGTCTACAACTTTGCTTTGGAGGCCTTAGATTTGGGTGCGTTCACACCTGCCTTGTATAGTCCGGTTGAATCGAACCCTGGTGCGTTCAGCCGCTTGGTGCGGTTCATTTGGGTCGGTGTGAACACAATCCGAGACCTCTGAAGTGAACTAAACAACCGGACTCTGGTCCGCTAAAATAGGTGGTCTCGGAGCGCTTGCTTGCGAACTCTGGAGCGGTTCATTGCTGGTGTGAACGCAGTCCGCAACAAAACATCGGAAGCGTAGTATTTACGTGTCACAAGAACGCGGATATCTTCAAAATCTTTAGCGAAAGAGTCTTTCAAGAGATCCGCGGTTGTTTAGTTAAAGAGTGAAGCAGAATGAAGTGTTGAACAGTGTCGTGTAAAGTACAAATTCTCCGTCAGCTACATAAAAGTAAGAACACCTGTCGTCGGTGAAACGCCCCTCCTGACTGCAGAACGTCTCATTATGTGTTATAAGGATTTTTAACGGACGTTGTCTGATTATATAATCATATGCGCGGGCCGCTAGAGTCTGTTGATCTCCAGATTAACAGCAGCATGAGAACAACCTGCCGAACGTGCCGATGCTCCATGGCGGAGGCTCCGGTAGAAATTGCCGGGATTCACGTTTTTACCCCCTTGATGTCTGACCAATGGTTGAACAGCATTTCCGAGCACATGACTTGTGTTTAAAGTTTATAGTCCGTTTGGTGTGAACGCAAACCAAACCTTCTGAACAATGAAACAATGGAACAAACTGTGGTCTGGTGCGCACCAGAGAGCGGACTATTAGGTGTGAATGTGACCTAAATCTTGCATTAAGTAACCTACCCACAAAATCAATATGGTGGCCCCATTATACTGCTTTGGGTTTTCCATTTCCTGTAGTGTGTTATATAGGTTTTTGTGCATGTAAATGGTCTGCAAAGGCTAAAATCCCTGCCCGAAACGCCTCCATTGGACTCCTTTTTCTAACTTCCAGAACATAATGACATCACTATGTAACAGTTGTGCTATTATTGGCTAGCGCTCCAACACATTGTACTTGATAGGCTAAAGGGGCGAGACATCTCGAAGCGGTTGGCCAATCACAACAAAGCCGGCCAGCTAACCAATCAGAGCAGACACCCTCTGGTTTCAGACAGAGGGTGAAAAGAGGTGCTGCAGCACAGGCAGTATGAGAAAAATAAAGAGCTTTTTGAACATTAAAGCTTTGAGACACACGAACAATTAAGAGCCATCTTTGAGGACTTCTACTGGTACGACAACATACTTTTTTGTTGCCATTGCCACTGAATTGGTTTTCTGTCGATGCCACACACAGACAAACCTCCGTCTGCTATTTAACGCTTTGGCGAAGGGCACCATGGTCTCGAGCTGTAGTCGCCTTTAGCTCATTAAAGCGTGCCACAGTAGAGGCACTAAATACAAATATAACCTGAACATGAGCAGAACATGTCCTCTTTAAAGTAGGTAACTTACTTACTCTGTTTTGCTATAACAATACTTTTCAGTGTCTCAAAACATCTATATAAGTTAACCATACATGTATATTACGTCTCCGTAGCATTAGTGAAACTCTAAATATTATCCAAGCACACCTACATAAAGGAGGTTGGTGCAACACATGTTAGTGTCATCCCAGGTTTAGAAAGAAACATCTTTACTACGCCAACTCTCTTTGAAATAAGTTGTACGTACAAATCCAGGTGGCTGTGAGGTTAATGAACCGTGGTAACGTTTCTTTCCAGTTTTCATTCCTATCAGTGGGGCAGATGTTCTCAGAATAAAGTAAAAGCAACATCTACCAACTGCTTTGAAGCAACACCTGTTATAAAGCCGCCTGAAATAATGCTCACTGGCTCGTCTTCACTTCAGTTGTTGTTCGTTTATCTTTTTTTCTTTGAGCTAAGTTACCATCTGGTAGAAAGTAGATGGACTGTGGTATTAGACGCAGCATACTGTAAAATGGGTTTATTCTCTTGATGACTGGTAATTGATGCATCTTAGTCAACAGATAATTCATCTTCTAAATAAAAGCTGGTACACTTCTAATCAGAAATAAACCATTTGTTCATAAATAAATGTTTTTTCTATCAAAATAATGATTTAGAAAGATTTTTCTTTTCAGATTTTTTGGAGGGGACACTGTGTCTGTGTTGCTTAATGCTTGGTTTGTATCGAGCGGGGCGGTGGTGGCGAAGTCGATAGGGACTTGGCTTGGCAACTGGAAGGTCACCAGTTCAAGTCCCGGCAAGACCAAGTTACCGAGGTGTCCCTGAGCAAGGCACCGTTCCCCACACTGCTCCCCGGGCGCCGTTCAAAATGGCAGCACACTGCTCCTAACACTAGGATGGGTCAAATGCAGAGAAACAATTTCCCCACGAGGGATAATAAAGTATATCAATATCAGCATATATTGGTGGAAGGATACCAAAAAAGTCCTAGAAAGACACAGGTGAACTTATCTAAAGTACTTTTAAATGGTTTGTGGTTTCAAACTAGAGGCCTTGGGTAAAAGTTGTTTGTGGTTTTTTAGTTTTTAAAAAAACGAAAGGATCTTATAGTTCGTGGGTGGACCATAGGGTACATTTTCATAGTTTTACTAAAACTATTGTGTGACTTTATAGTAGGATACAAGCTACGGCTATTTTATAGTGGGAGACTGAGTACGGCTATGGGCATTTTCTTAGTTTTGCTAACAACTATTGTGAGCTTATAGTACGAGGTACGGCTGTGAGCATTTTACCTAGTTTTGGGGAAAACTAGGGCAGTTTAGTTTTCTGGGTTTTGCTAAAACCGTTGTGAGTTTTATAGATTATGCGTAAGCTATAGGGCATTTTTACTTAGTTTTGGGGAAACCTGTAGAAGTCTAATCATCATGGGTTCATGCTGCAGCAAGACCCGTGGGAAGAAGATAGAAACAGAAATAGTCATCTTATCAGGAGATGCTAAATGGATGAAGGTGAAGCATGGAACGAGTGTGAAGAGATTAAAAAGTGGCAAAATAAATACGACTTCCAAGGGAGGTTAGTGTTAGAGGAATGCCAACAATTGATTGATAGCATCGAGAACAAATGTAACGGGAATGGAAAAAGGGAGGAAGAAGAGGATTTATTAGGGGCTATGATGTGGTTAGCCGAAGCAAGGAAGAGAAGGGAAGGACATGAGAGAGAGGTAGAGAGGAGACAGAGAGCTGAGAAAATAGCAGCATCAGAGAAAGTTTTGTATAACTTGTATCCAAATCTCCCCTATTCCGAGAAACTGGAGAAACTTGACGATCAAGTGATATGCAGACGCCGCCAGCCCCCCTCCTCCGTATCTCCCTCCTGTGGGACCTGCTGTGATGCAGGAGCAATGGATAGGTGAAAACCATGCACCAGCTCAACACCCCAGGGATCTCCTCGGACCCCTGACCTCCTGCTCGTCTCACCCCTCTGCTCCCCCACCGACTCCGCTGCCTTGGCCCCCCGCTCCGCCCTACCAACCACCTCCACACACCTCCACCCCTCGTGCTCCCGCGCAGAGAACAGCCGGCATGAGGGAGGAACCCAGCAACACACGGTCAGGTAAGGCATTCAGAATGCCCGTTATGCCAGTTATGAATATATCAGGGAATGTGACGGATTTTCTAAGGGGGGCATTTCAACGGACTGGGGTGAAATTGGCAAACAAAAGAAAAAAATAAACAAAAGCAAACTGCCGTGTTTTTAACACAGGGTGAATCTGATGATTACACTTCTGATGTATGTTCTGTTGAATTGATTTTCCGAGGTGATCAAAGAGGGTGTGGACGGGGCCGTGGCGGAAGGGACGGACGAGGTGGAGGGCGAGGTGGAGGGCGAGATGGAGGGCGAGATGGGGCACGAGGTGGAGGGCGAGGTGGAGGACGAGGTGGAGGGCGAGGTGGAGGACGAGGTGGAGGACGAGGTGGAGGGCGAGGTGGAGGGCGAGGTGGAGGGCGAGGTGGGGGGCGAGGTGGAGGACGAGGTGGAGGGCGAGGTGGAGGACGAGGTGGAGGACGAGGTGGAGGGCGAGGTGGAGGGCGAGGTGGAGGGCGAGGTGGGGCACGAGGTGGAGGGCGAGGTGGAGGGCGAGGGCGAGGTGGAGGGCGAGGGCGAGGTGGAGGGCGAGGTGGAGGGCGAGGGCGAGGTGGGGCACGAGGTGGAGGGCGAGGTGGAGGGCGAGGTGGAGGGCGAGGTGGGGCACGAGGTGGAGGGCGAGGTGGAGGGCGAGGTGGAGGGCGAGGGCGAGGTGGAGGGCGAGGTGGAGGGCGAGGTGGAGGACGAGGTGGGGCACGAGGTGGAGGGCGAGGTGGAGGGCGAGGTGGAGGACGAGGTGGGGCACGAGGTGGAGGGCGAGGTGAGGCACGAGGTGGAGGACGAGGTGGGGCACGAGGTGGAGGACAGGGAGGAGGAAAATTCCCGGAGGGAAGTTGCATCACATGTGGCAGATTTGGGCATTGGAAAGAGAACTGCCCAGCACGGGCGGCACAGGAGGGAACGGAGGACTGGGTGGAGAAGGCATGACTAGAGCCAAGTGCATCTGCAAAATCAGGTCATGTATTATCACACACAAACATAGACCCTGAACAGATGAAAAAGGTTAACGTAGAAAGTCAAACAACAGAAACAACTACAAAACAAGATAACCCAAATCAAGATTACCTAAGACAAAATGACTCCGACCTTGACGGTGACACAGAAGCAAGTTCAGATAACGTGTCTATCAGCTCATCCGATGAGGAAGTGGAGATTTTAGAATTAGGTACAGCAGAATTAATGCTGGCTCACGTAGAGAAACTATTTGTTACCTTAAAAGTAATGGGAATAGATGTAACCAGATTATGCAAAACCGTTTGCTCAAACAGCAGATTGTAAGAATGGATTTATGACGTCAGTACTCACTCAACTACATGGGGGGAAAAATAGACCAGTGGCATTTTACTCCTCACAGTTGGACACCATAGCTCGAGCCATGCCCATTTGTTTACAAGCAGTAATAGCAGCTGCTATCCGAAAACCAGTCAGTATCTGGTGTGAGGGGTAGGAGTAGGGTTAGGGTAATGTTGTGAATCCAGTGGCCTGTGTTCGTCGTCCATAACATACGCCTGCCCATACCCTAACCCCACCACCACCATGGGCCACTCGATTCACAACATCACCCTAACCCTAACCCTACCCCTACCCCTCACACCAGATACTGACTGGTTTTCGGACCCCCCCCAGACCCCCCCAATAAAGCCAAACTGCACGTTTCAGAGTGGCCTTTTATTGTGGCCAGCCTAAGGCACACCTGTGCAATAATCATGCTGTCTAATCAGCATCTTGATATGCCACACCTGTGAGGTGGGATGGATTATCTCGGCAAAGGAGAAGTGCTCACTATCACAGATCTTTTCAGATTTGTGAACAATATTTGAGAGAAATGGTTATTTTGTGTAAATAGAAAATGTTTTAGATCTTTAGAAGTAACTCACGCAGTGTCCGTACTATCGTTACAAAATAAACAAACCTATATGTCACCAGCTAGACCAGGGGTGGGGAACCTCCGGCCCCCGAGCCGTATGCGGCCTGCGAGACCATTTGGTGTGGCCCTCGAGGTAATTTATAAACACACAAAAAAGAAAAAAATTAAAGAAATCTAGACCGCAAAATAATTAAACAAGTGAGTGCCTGTTTTTCCTGGCCAAGGTCAGGGTCCTTGAACACAACACAAGCCTAACGTGTCATCACGTGGTATATGTCTCGTCCGACAGGGGTGCAGTTCTGACGGAGAGCACCAGAACGCAGCTCCGCTCTGGCACTTCTAAAAATTGCAGTACCCATAAGGAGCCGTACACATGCTGCAGTTTCTGCGTGTCTGTGTTTTAGTTGTAAACCCAGTGGCGATCTGTTCATCTGTCACACTGAGCATACAGACAATAACTTTGTTGTTATTAGCATTTGGTTAGCTAGCTATGCTAACGAATATAAGAAGCTTTTTCTACAACCAGTGAGGTAAAGGCACATCTTTATATGATCATTATAGTTATAAAAAAAATAAGAGAATAAAGTAAACAGGTAACAAATACTATATGACAGTCAAACAAGAATACAGTTTGAAAGGGGAGTGATTTGTAAAATATCCATAAAGAAAAAGTAAATCTGCTTCCAGTTCTGTTTCATCTGGGTGTTGAGAGATGTTTCCATAGAGCTCCTAATGTTGCTCTCAAAGTGCACCAGATTGATGCTTTTAACTTCAACATTTAAAAACAAATCTTCCCGGGGGAGAATGCCCCCGGACCCCCCTAGAGGAGGTTAGGTCCCCCCCACTTAAATCATGTTCACATGGATAGGAAACTAAATACATTTGCACACATCTTGTGTCCATATCTTTCTGTTTGGTGGTCATGCCACAACCGTGCATGCATGCGTGAGTCATGGCAAGATATCTGGATTAAGACGTTGCTTTTTCTTTGCACAGCATGAAAGAAAGGCCAAATGAATGGGCTGTGATTTTAGTTTTTTTAAGCAGAGGTCAATAATTTGTACGGCCCTCGGAGGATGTTGAAAACATTGAAATGGCCCTTGAGAGGAAAAAGGTTCCCCACCCCTGAGCTAGACATTTAGCATGCGTTTAGCATACGTTGTTATCACAACCAAATCTTACTATCGAGAGATGTACTACTTTAAATCCAGCTACACTACTGCCAGTAGAGATAGATGGGGAGCCACATGACTGTATCGCAGAAACTGAGAACAGAGTGTTACCAAGGACAGACCTGACTGACATTCCCTTCCCAGATGCAGACATAACGTTGAATGTTGACGGTTCATGTAAGAGGAATGTTGATGGAACTGATGCAACAGGCTATGCTGTAGTGACACAGACGAAACTGCTCAAGGGCACAGCATTGACGTCTCACTTATCAGCACAGGCAGCAGAACTAATCGCACTAACAGAGGCATGCAAGCTGGGAAAAGGGAAGACAGTTAACATTTATACAGACAGCAACTATGCTTATTCATGTATGTGTTTGCACAACAATGGAAAAATAGGGGGATGGTAACATCCACAAACAAGCCTATTACACATAAAGATTTGATCACTTTTGGATGCAGTACAACTCCCTAAGAGAGTGGCGGTCTGTAAGTGTGCAGCACACACTACAGGGACAGATCCAATGTCCACAGGGAACCGAAAGGCAGATGAAGAGGCTAAGAAAGCAGCGCAAAGACAGTGACCAATATATTTCTGAAAATATGGAACACATTGATCATGACATCCTAAAAGACATGCAAGCGAATGCACCTGACAAAGAAAAGGTATACTGGAAGAAGAAGTTGTGTATACAGAATAAAGAGGGGTGGTGGGAAAGTACAGAAGGCAAATTTGTATTACCAAAAAGCTTATTTCGATATGCAGCTATATTGAGCACGGCTCAACAGTGGGGATGGTGGACGTAATACAGAAGATATTCACAGCCTATGGCTTTACAAACTACTCTAAAATGGTTTAGCATGTTCTGTGTGTGCACAGTATAACCCTCAGGGACAGTTCAGACCAAAGAGAGGTAAAATACCGGAGCCAGTATCCGTTTCAGCACATTGCATGGACTTTATTGAACTAAATAAATGTGAGGGAATGAAATATTGTCTAACAATCATTAACATGTACTCAAAATGGATTGAAGTTTTTCCAACTAGGAATCCAGACGCATTGACAGTGGCTAACGCAGTGACAAATCACATAATCCCACGTTTTGGAATTCCGGAAAAGATCTATAGTGATAATGGCACACACTTTGTAAATAAAGTAATTCAGGATTTGACAGCTGTATTTGGAATACAATTAAAACGACATTGTTCTTATCATCCACAATCAGCAGGGTTGATAGAAAGAAATAATGGTACAGAAAAAACTGAAGAAGATGATGGCCGAGACAGGGAAAACATGGATGAGATGCTTAGCACCAGTGATGCTAAGCATGCACATCCTACCTAGTGCTAGAGGGCTATCACCTTTTGAAATGTTATATGGAAGACCATATATCTGCCTGAGTTAAAACCATGTGTAAGAGAGGACGAGGGTATGAGTGAAAACACAGCAGAGTATATGGCAAAAATGTTGAGAAGAAAAGAGATCACAAATGTTCTTGTACCCTCTGCACAGGAAGTACCTGACACTACACAGACAGTGAAACCAGGAGAGTGGGTGTTCACCACAGCGATAAAGAGGAAGAGCTGGCACTCGCCCAAGTGGGAGGGTCCCTACCAAGCACTCCTGTCTACACCGACTGCAGTTAGAGTGGCGGAGAGACCATCCTGGATACACCTGACTGTGAAGCTGTTTAAACCTAAAGACAGAAACTCGCCTCTACAGGTGAAGTCTGGCTACAAAGGGAGGTGATTCCAATAAGGACACTTGTCTCAAACCAGTGAAGAAACCAACAGAACCCAGTAGAACTTAAAGAGTGGACGTTAGCAGGGAAACAGTAACGGGTCTGAGTGATAGGAACTGACGATGTACAGAGAAAGTATTAGGCCATGGCATCCATTCGGATTACATTAACATGTAACATACAATCTACCTACCTCAGCCGTTTGGGTACTTTTGAATATGATTTTTTAATCTTTATAATAATTTGTATTTTCCAAGTTCTATGTTATTCCGTAGTATAAACAGGAGGGATATGTTGGAGAAATACTGTTTTCTCCACTCTTTGGGTTGTTTTAATGCACTGATATCATGTGTGGCTCTGAACTGTGTATGACCTTGCAGCTGCCTCTTCTTGTGATAGGAGGAGGCAGGGCATTTCAGGTTGTTGATATTTATGAGAAGACAGACTTGCTGTCTCCTAAATATCTCATTTCTATGAAGCGTGAAGGAAGTACGTGACTCTTTCCAGAAGACGTCACAGATGACCCGACTTTCCGGCACCCGCGGCTGATATTAGCGCCACCTCGATTTACGACTTTGTTGTTATCTGCGTGTTTTGGACGATATAAGCCTGATGTTTTTTGCTGTTCCTTTGAGCAACATACCTCATGTGTGAGTTAACCCATATCCTTTGTATGTGATTTAACTCTGCTCCTTCTTGCAAGAATAAATTAGTTACCTGATCATTGATTCTCAACCTGGTGTCGAGTGATATTTTTCTAACAGGGACCAATGGAAACGTTGTCATGTTGCCGTTGTTCAGCATGGAAACATTCATTAGCTAACAATGACATTATTGTTCTATTAATATAAAGGGAGGTCAGGTACTCTTTAAAACAGCTGCTAGTTATGGGTACTTTTTACTGAAGTACACTTCAAAGCCTCTTTACTTTGACTTGAGTAAAGAAGTTTAGTCAGTACTTCTACTTTCACCAGAGTATTTTTAAACTCGAGTATCTGTACTTCTACTTGAGTAAAGGATGTGTGTACTTTTGCCCTCTCTGGTGAGATCACAGTTGAGTTTCTTGGATTTGGACGTGACTGAAAAGGACACAGATTTCTTAACGAGGTTTGGATGATTTGATGGTGGCAAAGTTAGCACATTGGCATATTGTGTTTTGATCAAAAGAAAACACGTAAATGGCGCTGGCTTTGCCTCCTTGTTTGCTAGATCTCATTAACTACTTTCATCCCTCTGCAAGTTGACTTCATTCACAGGTACAGGTAAGACATGCAATATATATTGTTTAGTTGTGTTGAATGAGTATGAATAGTGGAACTGCATTTGCCTTTAAATCAAATATCTATCTGTAGGAATTGAGGTATTTTGCAAAGAGTGCTGAACTTTTTGAACATTAACGCACTATCCAGTCACTCAATCTCCGTTTCTTTATACTTTTAATTACGGTACATTTATGCACTCAAGTAGACGTAGGGGATTTAAGAAACAGCACAGAACAACATAACACTTTTAACACTCTGGTATCATTACTTTGATCACCCTTCCCTAAACCTGTAATGATGTTTCAGTCTGAACAATCCCTGCCTTTATTTAAATATGTAATAAAGTTTTTCAGGATTAATTGCATCCCTGTTTTACCCGAGGGCTTTTATAACGATCCAATTGCCGTCTCAGAGGCAAGGGAAGACATTACATTCAGGATAGAAGATGAGAATTACAACATTGATTAATAACAACTGCACCTGGCAACTTCTAGACAGATATATAGTGGTATCACTTTGTGCATTTTAAAATAAGCAAATCAGTTAAACTCTAGTAGATAATGTTTCATTTACATTCCTTGACTTTTAACTATAGTGTTACTTTGTACTATAGTGCAAGAATATATTTATTTATTTATACTCAAACTGATATATTCCTGCACTTGAACTGTATCTGCATATTGAAGTATGAATGCTTGTTGTTGTCTTCTCCTGAATGTTGTACGTCTCTTGTTTGTTTTGTGTACTTTTGATGGCACCTTAAAAAAAGGAGTATATCTCACTGTACTGTATAAACGGTTCTATATGAGCTGTTAACTTCACAAGATATAAATCTATTTAGAAATGTACAAAAGGTCTGAGTCCACAGCAGGTTTCAGGGGAACTAGCAGCAGCAGCAAAGATGGCCCTCTGATGGATTCGATGTAGTGTTATATTTACGGACAGATTTAGCACGGTGTAATATGGTGCCCTCAGGAACTTGAAAATGAAAGGCAGAGTCAGGGTCTCTGGAGACGCTGTATCAGCAAAGCCTCAGCAGAGCAGGAGACACATTACAGGATGAACTCTTATTGACACTTCTGGCAGGATTCATCATCTCCGTCCCTGGAAATGTTTGTCTGTTTGCAAACGGAGCCTCGTGGCACCGGGTGTTCATGTTCACACGTTTACAGTTATTTAAAAGGTGAAGATGGATAAACTTCCTGTGTTGCCTTTAGATGGGTAAACAAGTGTTATGAGGTTATTGGATTTAAGAAGTGACAAGCAGAGGTGGGAAGTAGTGTAGTACAAATACTTCGTTACTATACTGAAGCACATGTTTCTGGTATCAGTACTTTACTCCACGACTTATTTTTCTGACGACTTTTTACTTTGACTTCTTACATTTCTAACACAAATACCTGTACTTTCTACTTCTTACATGTTGAACACAAATACCTGTACTTTCTACTTCTCACATGTTGAACACAAATACCTGTACTTTCTACTTCTCACATGTTGAACCCAAATACCTGTACTTTCTACTTCTTACATGTTGAACTCAAATACCTGTACTTTCTACTTCTCACATGTTGAACTCAAATACCTGTACTTTCTACTTCTTACATGTGAACTCAAATACCTGTACTTTCTACTTCTTACATGTTGAACCCAAATACCTGTACTTTCTACTTCTCACATGTTGAACCCAAATACCTGTACTTTCTACTTCTTACATGTAGAACACAAATACCTGTACTTTCTACTTCTTACATGTTGAACTCAAATACCTGTACTTTCTACTTCTTACATGTTGAACTCAAATACCTGTACTTTCTACTTCTTACATGTTGAACCCAAATACCTGTACTTTCTACTTCTCACATGTTGAACACAAATACCTGTACTTTCTACTTCTTACATGTTGAACTCAAATACCTGTACTTTCTACTTCTTACATGTTGAACTCAAATACCTGTACTTTCTACTTCTTACATGTTGAACACAAATACCTGTACTTTCTACTTCTTACATGTTGAACACAAATACCTGTACTTTCTACTTCTTACATGTTGAACTCAAATACCTATACTTTCTACTTCTTACATGTTGAACTCAAATACCTGTACTTTCTACTTCTTACATGTTGAACACAAATACCTGTACTTTCTACTTCTTACATGTTGAACACAAATACCTGTACTTTCTACTTCTTACATGTTGAACTCAAATACCTGTACTTTCTACTTCTCACATGTTGAACTCAAATACCTGTATTTTCTACTTCTTACATGTTGAACACAAATATCTGTACTTTCTACTTCTTACATG